AGTTAGGGGGTAGAAGGGGATGAGAAAAGAATGTGGTAAGTGGCCAGACAGAAAGATAAATTAGAGGAGAAAGGAGAAAGGTAGACAGGAGATGCTCAGAAAGAAAACTATTTATATCTTTTGTTTTCCATATGGATGTAACTTAGCAACCTTGGTTATGCCAAAGACCACTTTTCTAACCTTGTTTTATTTTCCTGGGCCAGAATACTTACATCATTCTTACTTTCTGCCCTGTTGAGTCAGATTGAAGACATTGGGAGAAGGATAACTAGTTCTTTCCCCCAGGCCACTAAAATTAAGAGGGCTTAAAATTTATACTAGGCAACCCCAAGGCTTCACCCTGCCCATCTCTGGGCAGTGGCCTCCTTGCCTCCCTCAGTAGCCTTGCAATAGGCTGGAACCTTGCACACTGGACCAGTGTTGGGGGTTCCTCCACAAAGGCTGATTTGAGGACATACTTAGAGCCAATTATTTCAAGTAATAACACTTCTAAGTATGGTTCTGGCCCTGGAAATTGGAACAGCAATTCCTCCCAATTTGCTGGGGCAGTGTACTTTCTCAAAACTCTGCCTAAAGTGAGCAGGGATGAAGAAGTCATGTTGGGCAGTTTCACTCATCACACCTTCTCTAACCCTTTGACTAGAAAGAGGTACCATAAACCTATCTCAATTGGAGACTATAAAACTCATTCTGGGATTGCTATTCTCAGCAGCAAGGTTCCCTACCACTCTGGTGTGGTTAGATTGGATGGGTTTCTAGAGAACTCTTGGTGTAATACAAAGGAGCTATGGAATACTGCTTGAACAGTACTGATCTAAAACAGAGAGGGACAATCATTTTGCCACAAAGAGGTAGAGTTCACTTACTTGGATTAGGTCTAAGGGGGCTGAGGGAACCACTGCACCTGATTAGCTTATGACACACTTGGCAACTGATTGACAAGATAGTTTGAGGAATCAAAACTGACATACATTAATACAAGGGAATGAAAACGACATGCCGAATTTGAGATTTGCCTGGAGATTAAGGCCTGAATCAGGTGATGGTGAGGTTCCAAGTCAGAGTGAGATCATGAACTTGCTATGTAATTATGTATCCCCCTTGTACTTCTAGACCATCCTGTCTTCAAACAGAAGGCTGGGAAGGAGGTAGTCTAGTGAGCTAAAGTGACTCATGCCATAATGAATAAGGCTACATTCCAAAATATAGTTCACAAGTTCCTTGAAGGCCAAGACTATGTCTTTCTCATTTTTGTATTCCCTAAAATGTTTTGCGCTTTGTAGCTACTTAATAAATTTTTGAATGAATGCACTGGAAAACATTGCAGCTTGATTCTTGAGTAGAACTAGGATGCCATCTTAATCTATGTGGGAAATATCTTCTTCAATCCTGGTCAAATGAAATTAAGTCCCTTAATATTTCTGGTTCAACCAGAAGGCTAATCAAACAGCTTACAAGTTGATAAGTGGGACTTCCTGACACAGCTAGAGGATGCCTAAGTTTCAACTCGGTACTTAGTAATTTTCTTGATTCTATACTTAAATTAGCCTTTCAGGAGTCAAAGCAGAGAAAAGTTTGAGGTCTTACTTAAAACATAAATCTAGCTACTATTGCCAGTGTCTGTGAGTTACAGGTAGACTTAGATGAATGATCAAGAAGATTTCCTTTGGCTATAAGTCTTGCCCTGTGGCATAGAATCGTGTAGAAAACTGGAATTAGAAATGGAAGGGGCCTATGAGGTGATCTAGCCCAAACCCTCATTTTACAGATGAGTAAACAAAGGCACAAGGAGCTTAAATGACTTGCACAGAGTTACAAAGATATACAGTAACTAAGGTAGGATTTGAACTCAGGTGTTCATTGTACGCTTAATTTTATTTTGTTATACAATGAAAACATATCACTTAATAGAAAATGAGAATTATGCGGATCAATAAGATCTATGCAAAGCTCTGAGTTCCTGACTATTTTGGAAAAAGATAGTGAATTCCTCCTGCTTCTACTTTGTCTTTATATAAAACTTATAATAATAGAACTAGAACAGGAAAAGCAAAACAACTGCCCTGGGCACAAAAGGGGGGGTACTGAGTGAATAAACAGACAATTAGATAATGGGGCCAACAGAGGTCTCCAGCAATGGGTACAGAAGTCCCTGAGGTGCTGTGCTCTTCCCTACCTTCCAGTCATCCTCAAGGAAGCCCCATTCCCACTGGATAAGGAGTGGCTCAGAAGGTAGTGAGAGAAGGCACATCAACTGATGGAATTTACTCTAGCACAATGCTGTCTCTTAAAATTTTTGTATATAAGACGAATCCCTCTGTGCAACTGTCATGACTCATATGTGTGTCTACATATGTGTGTAGCCATATGTATATAAGAGGGCATATATACATATATATTTATATATATATATATATAGTCACACTTACCTGTATGGGTACAACGTTAATAAATCATTAATATATTAAATTTCTGTACCTGTCTAATGTTTGTGAAGTTGTTTAGTGGCCTTTATTTCTATGTATGTTAGTGTTGTTAGCCTCAGGTTGTAAGCTACTAGGATGCAAGGATAATGTCTAAGAAATCATTTCATATAGCATTTAACATAGTATCAAAGAGTAATAAGGACTTAGTAAATTCAGTGTGGTGATAAGGATGATATAAACAATAAGTACAAATGCCTTTTAATTAACCAGTTTCTCTAATGACAGGCATAGTTAAATATGGACAATTCTTCCTCTAACTTCATTTCCAATATTGTTTCTGAAATTCATTAAATGTGGCCCCAATGAAATTGTTAAATTCCTGTACAGTGATATCTGAACCTATTTCTCACAGCTTTGGCACAGCTTACCACTGATTCCAATTCTTTTCTATTTGCACATTTCTAAATTTTTATTCATAAATTGGTATCAATATATTCATAATCATTAGGAAATATGGTTATTTCTTTGGTTATAAGGGTCAAGCATTATACTCCAATTAAATTACAATTTATCAAGCTACATACAGCCTTGGCTATAGAGTTCTCAGTCTCAGATATTTTTTAAAATCCTTTTTGGTTCTTTTGATTCCTGTGGTTGTTACAGATGCTCAAAAGGTACTTGAACCAGATTGAGACCCAGAGGGAGCTGGCACACCTCTCACTGCTATTCTTCTCAATGGTATTTACTGAGACATTTATTTCATCACCTCATGTCCAGAAAGGCCAAAATACTTGCAGTAGGTTATTACCACTGTTTTGGTTCACAGAGGCTATTTTATTACACTGTGAAGTCAGGACAGAATTTTGCAAGGTATATCCACCTTAGAAAAAACAAGAAAACCTTACTTGGTTTTTCAGGCCTTTTACTTTATTGAACTCTCTTTGTTTTCTTAATGGCTTGTGCAGATGGAGGAGAGGGCAGAAAAACAACCCAATTAAAATTCATGGAAATCTCTAAACATTCCACACAATTCTTTGTGTTCATATTTCATATTCAAATAAGTTAGAGTAAATTTTCCTGAGGCAATGACTGGAACAATAGATCTTGACTTTAAGTAGATTTCATGGGTTGTCCAAAGTCTACTTAAAGTCATGATCTACTGTTCTAGTGGTTGCATAAGGAAAATTTACCTTAACTAATGTTAGAGTCCTAAGTTTCCTAGAGAATAAACACTGATAAAACTTTGAAGGTAAAGAGATAAGATGGAGAAAAAGTGATAGTGGAGCTATGGTTAGGGTTACTTTTTTGGTCAACAGTAATGTTCATTTTCACCTGGTAAATGATGGACTTGATTTCTCTGTCTCACAGCTGGTAATTCATTCCTATAAAAGCCTGGTGCTGCCTCTGGAGTTCTGGTAGCAAATCCTGGAGGAAAGAAATGTGAAACTATTGAAATGAAACTTCTTGGACTGGTGAAACCAAGAATTTTCACTTTAAAACTATAATAGAAACACAACAAGTGGGAGCTTTTTGTTTTCATGAACAGATGACTGAAGGAGCAACAGCCCCACTTCTGAGACACAGAATTATTCAAAGAATCGCAGAAATCATCTAAAGATGAATTTTGTTTGTTGTTGTTGTTCAGTCATTTTTCAGTTGTGTTCAACTCTTCATGACCCCATTTGGGTTTTCTTGACAAAGACACTAGAGTGGTTTGCTATTTCCTTCTCCAGCTCATTTTACAGATGAGGAAATTGAGGCAAATACGGTTAAGTGACTTGCCCAGGGTCACAGAGCTAGTAAGTGTCTGGGGCCAGAGTTGAACTCAAGAAGACGAATCTTCCTCATTCCAAGCCAGGCACTCTTAAGAATAATCTCAACAGAAAATGTTCAAATAATCTCAATAGCAAATAATAGATTTTAAGGGTTTGACCAATATAATCTGGTTCAAGTTGACCTCTGGACTCATATTTTCTCTTATTGAAGATGAAGCATTTGATTTCATTTCAGTTTTTAATAGAAGCAATACATTTATAGCTCCAGGTACTATGGCCAGATGAACACTTAGACTGTTCAGTTGTTTTCTTTTGTTTTGTTTTAATAGAATTTTCATTTTCTTAAAAAAATTTTTTAAAGATGTACTTTCAGGGAATAACCAGATACTTTAAGTTCATAAAAAGGAATTAATGTTATGACTAACAAGTTCTCTAGAGAGCAAGAGCCAAATGAACAGAAGGTACCATGCAACCTTTTCTCCCTTCTGTTTCTAGAATAGAACCAGGTCTTAAATCAATGCTGATACTAAGTCAAATAATTAAAGGTAAAGCTAGTACTTTTTAGCAGACTAGTCACTTGTGCAATGAAATTCTAACAGGCTTAGCTACTATTTTGTAGGAAATCATGCAGTCAACAAAATAATTTCTTTGTCTCAGATTCCTCATTATTTTTAAAAAAGTGAAAATCTTGATTTACCAGACTATTGTGTTTAAGGATAACTAACATAAGTTTCAAATCCCTTCACAAATTGGCTTTAAATAATGTAAGCATTTAATGGCTCTTTTTGAATTGTTTCAGAACTGACCTAACCAGCTGTCTTGTTTTATCATGGTGGCTAAATATTGTTCAAAAGTGTGGCGCTGAAAGAGCAAGATGATGGAATTTCAGTAAGTACCATGTTTTTTTGGCTAGTATAGATATGACCAGAAATGTGATATCAATAGTTAGTGGTTATAACAACCTTTATAGAAGTTTACACTTAATAAAAGTTTTGGGATGGAAGTGCCTAGGTACAGAGGATACATCATAAAGGCCTCTGGTGCATGTCTGGAAATGCTCTCAGAACTCATCTGGTTCAGTAAACAATTCCCTTCTCCCTCAAGCAACAAAGGCAGCACTTAATTTTATTTATATTAAATTTAATCCTTTTAATTTTAAGGTCTTATTCCCTGCTTCCTGAATTTTTGATTTGGTGACTGACCAAGCCTGTGTGCTTCCCATAGCTTCATGATTTTATAGACTGGATACAGAGGATTAGATACGCACACAGGATCCTAGCATAATCTCAGAGCCAAAGAGGATGTACATACATACATACATAAACACACACACACACACACACATATATATATATACACATGTATCTATATATACCACTATGAGGGAGTGGAAAGGAAAGAGTGGGAAGGAAAGAATATAGATCATCAAGATCCACAATGGTGAAAGTAGATCACTTGTAGCCATCTATCAGCAAAGACACTGATGTGTCCCAATATTTTGGGAAACAATGAGCCACTCCCTAGGCAATCCCATGTTCAGTCTATTTCATTTTTATTTACTTCTGCATTTTAGTTATTCCCAGCTGTCATTTTCCCAAATATTTCACATATTTAAAATACTTCTCATGACAGTCTCTCGATAAAATCTAGTAATAAAAACATCAGAGACAGGGCAGCAGAGAGCTGGCCTCAAAGCCAGGAAGAGTTGGCTTCAGACCCAGGTATCAGACCTTGCATCTGACATATAAAAGCTGTGTGACTCTCAATAAGTCATTTAACCTCTGGATGCTCTAGGCAATTTTCTAAGACTGCAAGTGGCAGAGAGGTTGTGAACTTACATTGATAGAGGGGGCAGAGAAGGTACCAACTTGCATTGGTATGTGGCAACTTCCTCACCTAGATTTCCTTATACCAATGAAGTCATAGGCCTTTATTAAGTTGGGAATACAAAGACTGGCAAAAAAGTTAATTAAAAAAATAAGCCAATTCTTCTTCTCAAGGAGTTGACATTCTAATTAGGAAAATGAGATATAAATAAGCAAATACATATAAGATGTATACAGAATAGGTGGAACATAATCTGAAAGTGGAAGCATTTGTAACTGGTAGGACCAGGAGAGCACTCTTACAGAGGGTGGGCCTTGAGCTGAGTGAAGGAGGCAGAGGGGACAGGACAGGGCTTTCCAGCTGTGGGGGATAGATGGGCAATACAAAGGCAGGAAGACAGGAGTATTATGTCTGAGTAACTGCCAGTACAACAGTGGAGCTGGGTCATAAGAGTTCATGGAGGGGAATAAAAGATGAGAATACTAGAAAGGTAGGAAGTGTTCTTAGTTACTTTGGTAACTTAGTGGAGGATAGATTGGACTGGGGAGAGATTCCAGGCAAGGAGACCAGGTAGAAGGCTATCAAAGTAGTCCAGCAGATAGGTGATGAACTAGGATTGTAGCTGTGTGAGTAGAAAGAAGGAAATTTCTGTGTCACTATATGAGAAATATAGTGAGGTAGAAATGATAAGGTATTAAAGTAGGTTGGATATGTTAGTTGTCTATGAGTCGTCGAGAATGACACTAAGGTTGAAAGCCCTGAACCTTAATAAGGAAGTTTAGAAGAGTGGAGGGTTTGGGGCAGAAAGATGATAAAATTGTTTTTGGGCATGTTGAGCATGAAATGCCTACAATTTGAAATGCTCAAGAGGCAGTTGAAGATGCATGATTGTAGGTCAGGAGAGAGGCTAAATCTAGATATATGATAATTGAGATGATAACTGAACCCTTTTGAACTGATGATATCATGAAGTGAGAGAGAATGGAATGAAAAGAGAAGAGGGCCCAGACAGAGACCTGAAGGGTGTCCACAGTTAACGTGTGAGACCAAGGGAGAACTAGCAAAGGAGACAAAATAGAGGTCAGATGTGTAAGAGAACAAGGACAGAATACATAGGAAAATGAGATCAACAGTGTCAAAAGCTTATCATAACATCAATAACACCTAGCCAAGCCTCAGCCCTGGATCATTTCCATCATTTGCTGCCTTCACCCCTACACGTGCTACTGAATGAAGATGGAGAAAATCACATAACCGTTCTGACTGAATCCACTACAAATTTATTTTATACAACTTCAACTAGGCCTTCAATGCTGCTAGGCAATCCTACTATACCTTCCTTATCAACTCACTGTCCCACTCTCCACAGCTGCTCTTCTAAACCTTTTTTAAGTATTTTATTTTTTATTTTTCCCCAGTTACATGTAAAACAACTTCCAACATTTCAAACTTTGAGTTCCAAATTCTCTCCCCCTCCTCCCAGCCCACCCACCCCCACTGAGAAGACAACAGTTTGGTATAGGTAATACATGCGTAGTCATGCAAAATATAACCATAGTAGTCATGTTATGAAAGAAAACACAGACAAAAAAACTCAAGAAAAATAAAGAAAGTAAAAAAAGTATGCTTCAGTCTACATCCAGACACCATCAGTTCCTTCTCTGAGGATGGACAGCATTTTTCATCATAAGTCCTTCAGAGTTGTCTTGGATCATTGTATTGCTGAGACTAACTAAGTCATTCGTACAACATTGCTGTTACTTTGTACACAGTACATTTTACTTTCCATCAGCCCATGCAAGTCTTTCCAGGTTTTTTTGAGAGCATGCTGCTGATCATTTCTTATAGTACAGTAGTATTCCATCATAATCACATATCACAACTTGTTTAGCCATTCCTCAATTGATGGGCATCTCCTTAATTTCTAATTCTTTGCTCCCAGAAACGAGCTGCTATACATATTTTTGTACATATGGCTCCTTTTTCTCTTCTAAACTTTTTCATCCCTTTTCCCACTTCTCTTGGTTCCCCCTTCCCCAACCCTCTCAGCTGAGATCCTCGCCTCATATTTTGCTGAAAAAAAACTGAGGCCATTTTTTGTGAGCCTCCTCTTCTCCCCTCCTCCTTGTCTCCTATCATTCAGTTGTATTCTGCCACTATCTTCTCCTTCACCCCTGTCTCACATGATGAGGTGGGCTTACTTCTTATCGAGGCTAACCCCTCCACCTGCTCAAGAGGTTCCATTCCATTCCATTCCATCTCCTCTAACAGACTACCTCCTCTATCATCCCCACTCTTTTACTTACTCTCCCTGTCCACTGGCCCATTCCCTACTGCCAACACATACACCCGTGTCTCCCCCATCCTGAAAAAAACCTCACTCGATCCTTTCATCCTTGCTAACTATCTTCCTATCATGCTATCTTCTGCCCTTTGTAGCTGAATTTCTTGAAAAGGGGTTTTTAACCTTTTTTATATGTCACAGACCCCCTTGAGAGTATGGTTAAGCCTATGGTTTTCTTCTCAGAATATGTTTTAAAATCATCAAAAGAAATGTTAAATTTTAGTTAGAGGTTCATGGAAATAGAGAATTAATCCCACCCCCACCTCCCAACCCCATACAAATCTGAAATCTATCCATGGACCCATGGACCACAATTGAAAAACCCCTGATCTAATCCAAACCTTACATAAAAGGAATCCCCACTAAAACGTTCTCCGGAGCACTTGTGCAGCCTGCCTCTTCCCGTTTTAAGTAGCCCATTCCACTTGTGTGAGGCTCTAAGTGTTAAGAAGTCCTTCCTGCCATCAAGTCCAAATTTACCTCCTTCCCTTTTTCACCCTTTTGCTCCTGGTTTTCCCCTCTGAGGTCAAACAGAACAAGTCTAATCCCTTCTCCACATGACAGACCTTCAAAAATTTCAAATATGTGATAACTCCTCAAACCTTCCCTTTCTCCTCCCCTTCTCCCTTGGTCTCTTCTCTTCTACAGGTGAAACCTGTCCAGTTCCTTCAACTGATCCTCATGTGACATGGATTCAAGGTCATGCCCAATCCTGGCTGCCCTCCTCCAGATACCCTCTAGCTTATCAATATTCTGCTTAAATTGTGATGACACCCAGGCCTGATGAGGTCAGAGCACAGTGGGCCTATCAAATGCCTATTTACCAATCTTGCAAACTGCTGTACATTCTGATGAGGCTTAAATCTTAACTTCCCAGGAAAGTAAAGTAATAGTTACATGTTGAGTTACTGATCTTATTGAAGTCTTTCAGTCAATGCACATATGTTTTGTATTTAGCATTTCTTTTGTCTATAGGAAATAAATACCTTTTCCATTCCTGATTCATATTGTACAATGAATAATTTTTATATCCAACTTTGGGATATATATGAATAAAAATCAAAGCCTTAAGTAATTTTCCACGAACAAGAGGTAGGAAATATGTAGAGGGGGAACCTAACCCCTCTCATTAGAGGTCAATATCCTCCCAGCATCAAACTTGGTTTTGACTGATGGCATGAATAACATGGGCAGTTTCCACATTATTCATTGTACAATATGAATCAGGAATGGAAAAGGTATCTATTTCCTATAGACAAAAGAAATGTTAAATACAAAAATCTCTGTGACCCTTGAAAACTTTAGAATTCTGAAGAGACACTTGTAAATGTAACTGTAGATGTCCACATTTCATTCTCATTTGGTGCCTTCCAACTGCTCAAATGCATTTGCTTTTCTGAGTTTGTCTTGATTAAAGTGTTTGGCTATGAAAGATTCTACTTGGTTCTGGTCTTTTCATTCATGAATATTGGAGAGTTTTTTTTCTTCTATTTTTTCCTCTGTAGGACCCTTGAGATCATCATCAGATGTTATTATACTGAGGTTTTCAGGATTTCATGTACCAGCTTCAGAATGCCATTGACTTTCTACCCTCTTCTCCTCTTTCCCCAGGACATACCAGTCAAAAAACTCCTGGCTTTTGCCCTGCCCTTGAAGCAGCAGAGGCAGCAATACTGCTGGCTTCTTGGGAGCTTCCTCAGCATAGCTTTCTGAGTTTTTTAAGTACTGGAATAAAAGAGTGTTGAAGATTGCAAGTGCCTATGGTGTATCCCAAGTCAGAGTGCTAGAAGGCTTCTGGTCTGTACTTGTGATTCCCTGGCACGATCACTCACCCAATGACCCTAGGCTTCTGGTTGTCTTTTTATATGTAGGATGGACTAGATGAAGGTACTTACTGATATTTTCTTTGGATTTCTTGATCATCATTCAATCTGATACCCTTACTATATCTTTTTTGGTGTATATTTGAGAGAACAGGGCTCATCTTTCTCCTTTCATGTCAGCATCTTTTCTAAAATATCTCTACCTTCTTTTTAAGCAATTTGTTTTCCTTCCAATTTTTTTTCAAGAGTTCTAATTACAGTATATATCTCACTTAATTTCTCCCCAGCTGCTCTTATACAGCCTGGTGACAAGACATTCTTTTTTTTTTTTCTGAGGTTTTACTTGTATCATTTTGTGGAGTTAGTTTCTTCTGGGTTAACCTCTTGGGTTTTTATTAAGCAATAGTATATCTTCACTGTTTTCAGTTTTTCTTCTGTTTGCTCATATCTCCTGCTTCAGTTTCTGGATTTTTGTGTGTGAGGCAATTGGGGTTAAGTGACTTACCCAGGGTCACATAGCTAATAAGTGTCAAGTGTCTGGTCTGACTTGACTTCAGGTCCAGTGCTCTATCTACTGTACTACCTAGCTGCCCATCTGGATTTTTTTGTACTACGGCTAGGCATTGCCCTTCCTGCATTCTTGGATAGAGAAAGCAAGCACTGTTTGGTCTTGTCCCTTCTGTAGTCTGGATGCTTTTGCCACTGCAGTTTTTTTTTTTAACAGTTGTTGTTATTGAGTTGTTTCAGTCATGTTTGACTCTTTGTGATCCCATTTGGGTTCTCTTGGTAAAGATATTAGAGTGGTTTTCCATTTTCTTCTCTAGGTCATTTTACAGATGAGAAACCGAAGCAAACAAGCTTAATGAAGTGACTTGCTCAAGGTCACACAGCTAGTAAGTGTTTGAGTCCAGATTTGAATTCAGGAAGGTGAATCTTCCTGACTCCAAGCTGGAACTCTATCCATTGTGCCACCTAGCTGCCCAGTAATTGTTTTTTCAGTATAGGTGTCTATAGTGCTAAAAGTGCTGAAACAGCATAAAAGGAACATGTATATTTAAAAAATAAACTTCTAGAGTACTCATCAGAATTTAAAAGCATCACGGAAAGAGGTCTCCTACATTTCAAATTCAAAGGTACACATGACAGTGTCTGAAGTAGTGAGTAGTTAGCAGAGGTTAACATAGGTCAATATTAAAATATTAAAACCCTTAATTTTTTTGAAACAACTTTTAAAGACTTAGGAATTTTGATCAAATGGAACCAATAACAGTTCCAGAGGACTCACGATGAAACATTCTATCCAATTCCACACAGAAGGACTATGCATTCAAAGTACAGAAGGAATTATATATCTTTTTGACAAGACTAATTTGAAAATTTATTTTACTTGACTGTACATATGTATAATGAGTTTTTTTCTTGCTTTCTCAATAGTGGGGAAGGGAGAGGTGGGAGGACAGAATTTAGAACTGAAAATAAAATAGAGCACCTCCCCTACCTATGCAAGTGTCATTAGCATGATAATAGTCCAGAGCCAATTATGAATTATTTTTATATTAACATAATTCACTTGACTTATCATCTTTTTTAGAGCAGATGATTTAAAACTATTTATACCACAGGTAGGACATTTACTCGAGTTCTTTGTAGTTTGTTATAGTTCTGTATTTTAATCTGCTCATACCCACCATGTGCTTCTCCACTGCCCTCTGAGTTACTTATTTTTATTTCCTCAGATACCGGATGGCTTGCAGTCACAGAACAATACCAGTACGATACTGGTATTCAAAAGATGGGCCTTTGTTTCAGGAAGAAGTTTGTGCTCATTGAAGAATCCACACAAATTCCCTAAGGTGATTCTGCTCCCTCAGCTCCACTGAGTGCCCTAATTCAGGGTATAACTCATTGCCCATTTGTAGATATAGTTACTGATGCAGGAGCTCTGTAGGTTGTGCATCTATTGCATGTCATAGAATAAGAAGTACTGAAGTAAAGGATGAAGTCAAATGGCCACCAATATAAGTGTTCGAAAAAGATGAAATCGACACAGACATATTGTTTAAATAAAGGGTAAAATATAGAAATATGCACAGGAAGCATGCCAATGAGAGAAAAGGCATAGAGAAAAACTGAAATAGATTTTTACAGACTAGATTGAAAGCTGGCACTTAGTATATTGCTTGGCAAATTGAAAGTACTTAATTAATGCTTTATCTACATATCTATCTAGAAGAGAATCTAGTGAAGAAATGAAAAAAAGTCCTTAAATTAGAAATAAGGAAAAAAAGTGAAGCAAGGCAATCTTAATACTATAATGGCAAAGACAAACATGAAAAGAAATATAAAATGTCACCATATGGTATCCTCAGGTGAATTTTAAACTACATAGGAAATTTTCTTTTAATAATAGCAAATGAATTATCAAACCCAAACTTCTCAAATAATAAGTTTTCACTAACATGTTACAAAACTATTTAAAATAACAACTGTCCATAGTCAATTCAAGGAGACTTTGAAGGATATTTTCCTACTTGTATTTTTGCTTCATTAAAAATTTTATTAAAATTAAATATTAACAACATTAATACATTAATTATTAGTAATTATCAATATGTTAGCATTAATAATGGGTAAAGAATTAAGAATTAGAGAGATGTTCCCTCTAACTTTTAACTTATGCCTTATAAGGAAGCTTATTTTGTTTCAAATACAGAATATTTCTTTTATATCTATAACATTTGTGCTTTGTTGACAACTTTCTCTGCATAACTATGTCAAAAGTAAGATGATATTAAAATGAAGTCTTTTCAGTACTTTTAGTAATGAACCCCACTGGATGGGTTTAAAATGTTCCTGCATTTTAGAGAATTCCATTGTATAGCAGGTTGTATTATAGAAAGTTCTAGGATATCTTTTTAAAGTGAAATAGCTAAGATGGAAATTAGTATTTCTGAAAGTAATAAATTATGTAAAAGCTTTATTTATTGGTAATTGCTATCAAGAACTTTTAAAGGGATACCAAGCATATTTGGATCATTTAAGAACCCTAACCAATTCTATTATACAAGTAAATGATTAGGGCCTTTAACAGAGAGCAAGAAAAACCCCCTTTAAACAAATTAATTGAAATTTCAGGCTTTTAAAGAAAAGGGAACATCTAATTTGGAGCTCTGAAATTTTCTGAAGGTTATCCAGCCCACTCTTCTCCTCCTGTTCAAGTCTAAATGCAACTTATTGTCTATCAGTGCTGCCTGTCCAGGATAAACATACTGATGGATAAGTTATACAGGTAGTCCATCCAAATACATATTGAAAAAAAAAATTTCCCCAAGCTCTCTATAAAAGCAAAGACCCTTTTCAATATCAACATTCTACCAGTATTGCTACATGATAGTGTGGCATGGGATATGACTTTCCTCCCAAACTTAAAAATGAGCATCACACAGAGGGCAATGGAGAGGCAATGGTGAGTGTGATCAGGCAGCACCTGGTAATAAATGATGAAATCCAAAGAATAACAGGAGTAAAAAATGTCCAAAATGAAGTATATGTTAGGAGAAAGGGCTGGTTATATGGCAAGAGTGGAGGGTGACAGACCAACAACTATAGTGCTTTACTGGTATCTTTTCAATGTCAGGAGAAAATAAGGAAGACCTCCAGTATGTTAGGTGGATTCCCTGTGCATAACATTGCACAAGACAAGCGTTGTTGGACAAGAGTTGCAGACAATGGGCAGGTGTGGATGAATTGCAATCTGCATTATTGGAGGGAACTTCCAAATACATGAGATCAGAGATCCATTTGAATATTTAAATTAGAGTATAGCTATAAACTGAATTCAAGTCACAGTACTTGTTTCCCTTTTATATGGCTCTGTGAGAAATGAATATTTCTCTCATATTTCGTAACTGATTTTTGTATTGGGAACAAAAATTTCCCCTTTTTCTACTTCTTTATCCAGAAATCAACTGGTGAAGGAAGTATCTCATAAAGATTTATTCATAAAGATCTAATCAGACAAATTCTAAGTTTAGGCTAGTGGGAGTATTTCTGCTCTTGTGTTTGCTTACACAGGACCTGGGAAAATGTTGATTCTCTCTATTATTGAGAAGTAATATGGAAATTGATGTCTCTTTGACCAAGATTTGAGTGACCTAACTCACATACCCCAAGATAGCCCATCTCCCATTTGATTAACCAATCAGAGATGATTAGGTATCCCTCAAGAACACCTCTTCTTTGAAGGGCATATAAACTGTGACCCCACCCGATTAGGGGTCTTTGGACTAAGAGAGACAGCCAAATGATCATCCTTTTATTAATAACCTGCTGGCCTTATTAATAAAATGACTAAATTACCTGGAAACTATGCCTCTCGAACTTTGTTAAACATCACAACTCCATCCTCTGAGAAACACACAATATGGATATTTGGAAAAGTCTAGAAAACCTCTCTGATTTTTGATAGTCTAGCCTTGCATGTGACAGGTTTTTGAACTCTATAAACTCCTCCTTGGCATCTGTGACTTGTTTTTTTGCTGAAATTTTCCATCTTGGATACTTAAATGCAGGAGTATGCTGAAGCTGGCTCATACAGGCTCACAAGAGGAAACTGTTAATTTTTTCAGTGTGAGAATTGCACCTCAGAAAGTAGCAAATGCTATGAATCAAGACTTGATTTTTTGTTTTGTTATTTTCTAGACTTAAGAGATGGGGAAAATGTTAACAATGCACACTGAATTTATAAATGCATACATTGTTTTTGAGTGGCAGTTTTTAAACATTTACCAGCTCACCTCTCTTTAAACATTTCCAGTTGTAGAGTCGAGGGTCTTGATGGCCAATCTCTAGTGCCTAGTGACTCTTCACTTATGACATCAGAGATGGGAAATCGGTCAAATGTGTCTGAACGAGATCCCATCTCTTCCTACAAAATCTATAGGCCTTTCCTGCTTCCATGTTGCCCTACTGCTTGGACTGCTCTCAGATGTAGTGCTTCTCTAAGAGGTCATGAAAGACTCAGGTTTCCTCTATATCAACTACAGGTGGTGACAAGAATTTGACGGAAGCTAATTGCAACAAGTCCAGAGGGTGGGCTCTAGCAGTACCATCACTGACCACCCCCCCTTCCTCTTTCTGTTATGGCTTGTTGACCATAGTCTCTGAGGTCCAGAAGTCCCTCTATTAACTGAGATATTGGTATCCTATGCCCTGAGCCCTCCTTTCTTTGTCCCTATCCTACTCCCCTAGCTCTGGCTCCCCATGCCCTGCTGTTTCCCCCATGGATGTTTCCTGTTTGGCCTTAAAATTTCCCGTTTGAATCAAAATACATCAGAATTTAGGCATCACTGGCATGTCTGACTTATTTGTGAAAAGATCCCTAAGTCATAAAATGAATGGAACAACATTTAGTGATTCTTCCCCTGACCTCATGCAGACATAGTGACTTAAAATCACAAATATAGAATTCATTCATTGTAACATTTATATTTTGATACTACATGGAGTACCACCAATGCCTCATAAAACCATCAATTTTTCTTTTACAATGTGATTTTAAAATGATTACACATTTTGATTTTAATTCCATCTTGGCATCAAAAATATATTCTATACTAATGAATTCCTAGCTGACTTGATAACTAAATGAAATTAGATTACTCTCAAATTCTAAAAACACATTTTTAAGTGAAAAGTACATATCAACTTTGTCATATTCCAGGTATCTCATATCATAAATATAGTTAAAACAAAGCAATGAATCCTTGAAGCAGATTCTATAGAAAGCCCCTAGATCTTGTGTAGTTTACCTGAGGTGGGAGACTTGCAGCGCTCAAGTTCCAGGGGCACAGGACTATCCGTGAGCTCAGTCATACCTAGAAATAAGAAATTTAAAAAAAACCTGAGATAAAATCCTAATGCTTTAAAGCTCTAGGAAGACTTCAAGTTATAGACTAATTGTATGAATAATAAAAAATAGTTATTTGTGAAATAAAATTTCCCATCCTGATCCAGCTAGTACATAAATCAACCTCATCATTTTTAAGACAATAACTGATGTAGAAGGAAGATATACAAAATAATTAATTGACAAACAAAGGGAAATTGGACACAGCTGATGAAAAGAAATAAAATTTCATGCTTTTAATTTTCATACAATAATGGGGAAAATCCAGTAATTATATTGGTGATGTTGATCTTATCTGTACAGACATCTGAAATAAGAGCTTGATTCCTTAAGTCTTCTGGCCTAGCCCTTTTTCTTTAGGCAAGTGAATAACTGAGGCATCCAGAACAGATCGTTATCTCTTGTTCAAGATCTCCAGGGATAAAATTTCCACAGATTCTATTGATTACAATTTTTTTTAATTATACTGATTGACAAAGAGGTATTTGCTTTGTGTTGATGCTTCTTTTTCCTTATACTGACTAGAATATTTATGTTTACATAAACCAGATTTTGTTACTAATGCCCATTTTCCTTTACAAGGATAAATTTTCTTTCCCTCTTTTTGTTCTTTTACTATTTATTACTCACTTTACTTTCCTGAATAGCAAAATCCCAGACACATAGTAGGTGTTTAATAAATATTTAGTTAGTTATTAGTCTTCAATGGTTTTGCACAATATTTCCTTCCTAATATCTGAAAAAAATCACCACTATGTTTACAATCAGTGCTTTACCATATCTTCTCCCTTCCTTTTGGGGAGGGTGTCACATGCTTTTTGTAGAGGAGTATAATTTCCTATTTTTTTCTTCTTCATTTAACTACCTACATAAGAATGTACCTCATCTCCAATGCTGAAAACAAAAAAGTAGTTTTTGTGTCAGTTGACCAAATCTCTCCTCACCATAGATTTCCCTTAGGCAAGGTGAAATTTTATTTTTTTAATCTGCTCAATAATCTTAATTATATATATGTATATGGACATATACATACACACACATATATTATGTATCTTTGTTCTATTACGATTTTATTTCATATAAACTTTTAAAAATTTATCTTCAATTATCAATGATCCCTTTACTTCCTATTTTATACTCGTAGTTTTATAGTATTATCTCCTTATATAGTAATGCCCCACTTATCCAGTTATAAGACTTGTGATGACTTTAAGCATCTTGAATGCCTAGAAACCTGGAAGTTAAAAACATCTCAGAATAATGAGGAAAATGATGTCACAAAGGTCATATACTTTAGTATGGAGATGAGACATGGAACTACTCAGGCCCTTATTCATTACTTACTGCATTAGACTCATGAATAAAATAAGGTTACTAAGCAAATAAGATAAAATAAGTAAATAAGGGTTTTAAATGATTTAATAAGATTTGTAATCTGTTTCCTCATACGTTCTTTTTTCTTCATTTATTAGAAGATTAAAAGCAACAGTCAACAAGGGGTGCTAGAGACAGACATACTGACAGCAGCAAGACATGACATCTGACAGTGAAAGAGAAGACAGAAGAAATATAAAAAGCAAGCAGAAGAACTATAGGGCCATCATTACCTATGGCAGGTAGAAAAGCAAAAAGCACTGTACACCCAATATGAGGAGCCGAAGAGCATCACTTTCTTACAGCATAGTACAATGATCATTGTTCATAATGTTGACCCTGAGTCATCAAGAAAAGGTTAAAGTATGTTCACCATGCTCTGTTTAACAAGTCAAAAAATAAAGTTCAGAAAACGTAATACATTCTAGAAATTTTCTACAAAAATTATTTAAAATCAAAAAGGTTTTGGTAATTAAATGGGTTAATGGCTTCAATTATCTAGAAAATGCACTTCAGTAGAAGGGAAGGAGAAAGGAAGCGAACAAGGATTTATTAAGTGATTACTATATGCCAGGCCTTGTGCTGTTACAATTATTATTTCATTTGATCTTCACGATAAGTCTGGAATATAGGTGCTATTAGCATCCCATTTTACAGTTGAAGAAACTCAGGTAGACAAAGATTAAGTAATTTAAGTAACCCAGCTAGTAAGTATCCAATGCTAGATTTGAACTCAGATCATTCTGACTCCAGCCCCAGTGCTTTATCCACTGAGCCACTGAGTTACCTCTAGAACTCATTCCTTATACATATACATCTGATTATGTTACTTCTCAAATCAAACATCTTCAATGGCTTCCTATTGCTTACTGAGTGAAATTCCTTGGCTGGATTTTGAGGGCCTCCATAACCTAATGTCATCATATCTTTCCATTCTAATTTCATGTTAATTTCCTCTGTGAGAGCTATATTCCAGGCAAATTAGACTGTGTACTCTTTACCTGAGCTTTCCTGTGTTTGTGCCTTTACTCGCGTTTTTTTTTCTTTTTCCTTGCTTGGAACATTTTCCCCCTTCCTCTTCTGAATTTTTATCCAGCTCCTTCACTTATTAACCCAGCTGTTCCCAGCCTCCCCATCCTTGATACCTCTGTCTGCCTGTTGCAATTTCCTGCTTTTGAATCCTGCTGAGAATAGCTTTTGTGATTTTTTTTCCTTCTCAGCACATGCCATACCCTGTCTTGGGCCTGACTGGGCCCTTAGTTTTTGTGTGCTAATTGACTATGTAGGAAAGTGTGGGAGAAAAGAGAACTGTTTTTAGATTAGGAAACAAACCCTGATTTCCTGGATGGTCTGAAAGTTAGTGGCATCTCTCTTTTTTTTTTCTGCCCTGACCTTTATTTTGTCACATTCATGTGTTCTCTTTTTTGAAATGTGTTCCCTCCCCACAGCAGTCTTTCAACCTAAGCAAATGATATTTTAAATCTGTTTTCTAATTATTGTCCTCTTTTATTTTATTAACTTTTAAACTATAGAAATACTGAATTAGGGAAATTTATCTATCATTCTTGATCCATCCACCTTTAGCAGTTGTGGATATGTAAGGGGTAGCTGAAGGGAAAGTTGGACAGGTAGATTTAGGGAAAGTAGATCTTAAAAGTTCAGCAAAGGAAAGGCAAGATCCCAAGACCTAAAATTTTAAAAGAGAGTTGGTCCAAAAAAAAAAGGCATCCTTTCAAGAACGAAATCTGGATGACAAACACACATGATTCTGAAGAGGAAAAAAATAGAGGTGCTGTCAGAAAAGGATTTATATTGATAAACCGTAGTCCAGGACATGTGTGTATAATCTTAAAGGTAATAAGGAACAACTGAAAGATTTTGCATAATGGAACGACACGGATAGACCTGTTTTTTAGAATGGATTTTTGGCACCTATGTATAATCGTCTTCGATGCTTCACCATGATGCTGAAGGGTACTGGATTATCAAGGGCAATGCCAGTGGAGTACAAACTTTGTCAGAGTCTCCCATGCTATAATGACTTTGAATATGGCTCCTGTGATAGATTATGTCTAGATGGTGCAATGGAGAGAGAGCTTAGAGCCAGGAAGACCTAGGTTCAAATCCGGTCTCAGAAACTTCCTAGCTGTGTGACCTTGGGCAAGTCACTTAAATTCTGTTTGCCACTGGAGAAGAAAATGACAAGTTACTCTAGTATTTTTGCCAAGAAAAACCCATGGGCAAAGTTCAAAGGGTCACAAAGAGTCAGACATGACTGAAATGACTGAACAACAACAGATTATGTCTGCTTTCTGAGAATCAGACTAGCTAAGCAGAGAGAAACTCAAAGACTGGTAGACTGATCATGAGGTGATGATGATTTTTTCATTCTGATAACTGATGAAACATGATAAATTACTAAAATGACCCTCAGACTTGTGGGCTTCCTTCTGCTCCTGTGCTGATAGTGGAAGAGTGGTGGAAAAATGGGAGCTAGGATGCTAAGAATAACACAGTTTTTAGTCTGCTACAAACAATGTATATCTATATATACATACACAGTGTATCCCAAAAGTCTTAGTGAAATTTTAAGCTTTTAAATGAATAATAATCAAATTATTAGCTTAGAACTACACTAAGACTTTTAGGATACCTTGTATACCTATGAATATATATGTAGATAATTAGATATAGATCTATTAGTACTCTAAATATGAGATTATTATCCAATGACTAACAAGTAGATATGCTACTAAAGGAACTGGATCATATCAATCTTAATATTGTTACTATTCATTATAAATGAAAGCAGAAGACAAAAAGAAACTGCACTGAATGGAAGGATGGCTCAGGTTTTCCTTGGACAGTCAGATAAAGGAGTTGGGCAAGTTGGGTTGATCATGCCTACAAAGGCAACAAGAGACATCATTTCACTTGGTCCTTTTATACTGAATTGTTCATGGTAAGTATTTACAAAAAGATTCCCATGAAAATAACTGTGGTTTATGTGCTAACATGAGTTGCAGAAAGTGAAGAGGTAAAAAACTTAATAATGAACTTAGTAAGAACTTCCAAATTAAATTAAAAAATCTATTATGATACTCAGTGACTTCAATTAAAAGGTAGAAATAGGGAGGATGATAAAAAAATAAGGAAATACTATTCAGAAGTAAGGAATGAGAGAGGCTAAAGGCTTGCAAACCCCATAGAAGTCTAATGCTTCAACTATCAGCATTGCTTTCTTCAGAAGAATAGAGACACAAGCACCAAATAACATCATCCAAAAAAGGGAAGAAATTTTTTATATTTAAATAGGAAACAATCTGTTATTGACTCAGCCATCTGTATACAGTTAAAACACTGACCTATGAAAGGAAAGATGAAAATAAATATAAAACTAGAAAAAAAAGCATAAAACATGGAAAAAGATGTGGCATATAATTAAAAGAACTGCAACTTGAGTTATCTAAAATTTAATGATTTTTAAAAATAGAAAATGACATTGATTATAATAATTTCACAGAAGTTAAACCCATGAAAATCCATTGCAATAAGGGGGAAAACAAAGGAGCCTAGAAACAACCTCAGTGATCTCCTTGCCAAACAGAGAAAGATGAAGGCCAAAGTAAACACTGATTTATAATATAAACTCATTTGCTGTAAAATCTAGAATAGTGAAAGATTATGAATAATACTACCTCATAAAACAATAAGAAACAGTGGAGAGAAAAACATGTTTAAAGAAAGCTCAACAAGAATCCCAATGAAGCAATATCATCCCAAAGGATGAAACTGGGAGAAGGATATCAGACAGATGAAAAATGGAAAAAAGATCTGTAACGATTTTTATAACAAAACCTTCACTATCAAAGGTAGTAGAATCACCATGTTAGATCTTTAAAATCACAGTACTTAATTTGCTGAATTAGAAAGTGAAAATAACACTGAAGAAAATAGAGATAAAAAAAGCAGCTGAATTAGACCAAGAATGAAGGACTGGTTCTGAAATTATCTGAGAATTGTGTTCTAGGCTTACTACACATTACTCTTCTTCATGTACTCACTGTGAAACCAAACTGGTCTTCTTGTTTTTCCTCATACATGACATTTAGTCCCCTTCTTGGAGCCTTTGTACTGGGCTGTCCCTGTGGTTAGTGACTACTTTCTCATCTTTGCCTCCGAGAATCCCTAGCCTCTTTCAAAACTCAGCTTAAATGATATCTTCTGCATAAGACTTTTCCTCATCCCCTAGCTGTTAATGCCTCCCTACCAAAATTTTTTCTTCTTCACACACACACACACACACACACACATGCATGCACACATGCATGCATGCACGCATGTATATATCCATAAGTTGTATCCTCTGATAGAAAATAGGTTGTAAGGAAAGGGGAAAGCAAGGGTAACACGTTATAAAATTGGGTGGCTAGAAGTATGATGGTAAGATCAAAAGAGATGGTTTTGGGTGGGGTAGGGAAGATAACAAATTTCAGTTTGGACACGGAGAGTTTCAGCAGGACATCCAGGGGTGAATTTCTAGCAGGCAGCTAGCACTGTGGGTATGGAATTCAGAAGTTAAAGATTTGGGCTGGCTATATGTATCTAATAGTCATCTACATACAGATTATACTTGAAGCCATTAGATTTGAAAAATTCACTAGGAGTGATTATAGCAGGGTATAGGACGGAGTCTTGAAAGACACACCTATTTAGGGGGTGGTAGGTAGACAATGAATCAACAAAGAAGGCTGCACAGGAGCAGTCGCACAGGTAGAAGAACCAGGAGAGACTTGCTAGGTAAATTAAGGGAGGAGGAGGGGGCAGTCAACAGGGTCAAAAGACAGAGAAGTCAAAGGAAGATAAGAGCTAAGAAAAGGACCATTTAGCAGGGCGGTTTTAGAACTGTGGTGGTGTCGGAAGTCTGTTTCTATAGGGTTAAGAAGAGAGTAAATAATGAGGAAGTGGATGCAGTAAGACATCTTTTCTAAGATCTTGACACTGAAAAGGAGAAAAGATACAGGACATTTGGTTGAAGGAATGTAATGTTATGATTAAGCAAAGTTTTTATTAGAAAATGGAGAAGACCTGAGCATGTTTGTAAGTATCAAGGAAGGGGACACTAGAAAAAGAGAGATTGAAGAGGAAAGAAAAATGGAGGGATGAATAATAGAATAAGCTACTGGAGGAAACATAATGAGACCAAGGGCACAAGCAGAAGGGTAGCTACTGGGTTGGCAAAGATGATAAAAGAAGAAAGTGGCAAATGTTGGAGAGACTGTGGGAAAACAGGCACACTAATTCACTATTGTCCAGTGAATTTGTCCAGTCATTCTAGAAAACAATTTGGAACAATGACCCCACAATACCAATAGCGGGGTCAAAGAGATAAAAGAAAGAAGAAAAGGACCCAATATG